GCTGGCCATCTATTCCCCATTCCTATGCCCCCTTCATGCTTCAGCCACCATTTCACAGGACATGCGATTGGCTGAACAAGTAGGACTGAGAGGACTTGCAGGCTCTAAAATTTTACATTGTTTTATTTTTAATGCAGTTTTTTTGTACATAATTCTACATTTGTAAGTTCAGCTTTCATGATAAAGAGATTGCACTACAATACTTGTACTAGGTGAACTGAAAAATACAATTTCTTTTGTTTTTTTACGGTGCAAATACTTGTAATCAAAAATAAATATAAAGTGAGCACTGTGCACTTTGTATTCTGTATTTTAATTCCAATGACTGTATTTGAAAATGTAGAAAACATTCAAAAGTATTTAAATAAATGGTATTCTATTATTGTTTAACAGTGCGATGAATTGCATATTTATTTTTTGTGTACATATATATATATTTAGTGACAGGGTCAGGCCAGATGGCTACAGGAGAGTGTTAGAAGGCAGCCATATTAACCCCAGGTTAAGGAGGTCACTTTTTCCTGGGTAAGGTAACAGGGAAGGTTCCAGAACAATCAGGAACTTTCTGGAAACAATTAAGGCAGACAGGCTGATTAGAACACCTGCAGCCAAACAAGAAGCTGCAAGAATCAATTAAGGCAGGCTAATCAGGGCACCTGGGTTTTAAAAAGGAGCTCACTTCAGTTTGTGGTGTGCGTGCGAGGAGCTGGGAGCAAGAGGCTCAAGAAGCTGAGAGTGAGAAGGCGTACTACTAGAAGACTGAGAAGTACAAGCATTATCAGACATCAGGAAGAAAGTTCAGTGGTGAAAATAAAGGTGTTGGGAGGATGCCATGGGGAAGTAGCCCAGGGAGTTGTAGCGGTCACGCAGCTGTTGCAGGAGCCACTGTAGACAGCTGCAATCCACAGGGCCCTGGGCTGGAACCCGGAGTAGAGGGCGGGCCCGAGTTCCTCCCATCCCCCTACTTGATACTGGAGGAGTTGAACTGGCCTGTGGGTTCCACCAGAGGGGAAGGCTCTGGCCTGTTCCCCGATCCACCAGGTGGATCAGCAGAGACTGCGGGGATTGTTCTTCTTCCTTTCCCCATGCTGGCCAGTGATGAGGCTAACTGAATGAATGGCAAATCTGAGCCACGAAAGTGGCCAAACTGAGGACTGCCGTGAACCTCTGAGGCGAGCAAATCCGACAATAAGCACAGGCAGAGGAGGAACTTTGTCACAATATATATATATATTTATATAACCTGATATGGAACAGCAGGCAGTATTTAATACATCTAGCTAAGTTTACTCCTGGAGGAATCCTGTGCCATTGAGCAATGCAGAATTTGCACAGAATTAATGGTCTGAGCACAATTTTCTCCCCCCACCCTTGCCACACAAATGGGCTGCAGAGCTGCTGGCCGCCACTAGGAGGCCACTGGACCCGGCAGAGCCCAGCTCTACAACAAAAGAAACTGCCGGTGGGAGGGGGAGGGAGCTGGAGGGTTCCTGGAAGCTGCAGTTCCCCACCCTGAAGGAAGGAGGCAGCATGCAGGAAACTCTATACAATCCTGGAACCCAGCATTAGGCTGTTTCTCCCTCAGGATCCCTGGGATTTGGGAGGGTAGGAGATGCGAGTGTCTGGGCTGGTGGGCGGCCCTGCAGCTGAGCTCTAGAGGGTATCTGGCCCCCTGCCTGGGCTCTGGGAGGGAGGGGTCAGAGAAACAGGAACTGGTTTGTCATACGGGTTTCTTTAACTCTCTATTTCTGGGGGAACTTTTGTGTGTGTCTGTATTGTTACAGACATAGTTGCTGACAGGTATTTTGAAATAAATAACCTCAATAATTGAAACTGACGTGATTATATAGTGTTATGTTGACAAATAAAATATGCAGAATTTAAAATATTGTGTGCAGAATTTTTAATTTTTTGGTTCAGAATTCCCCCAAGAGTACAAATTCCTCCACAAGCACAATGAACCCTTGGAGCATTTTTTGCATCTCCTCACAACTGTCAAACCAATCATATTAAGGTTAGCGTGTTTAAATAGATCAATGTCAAAACTACATATTGCTTTTTGGAGAATAATTTACTGCAGAAATTGAAAAACTGAAAGCTATTGATGAGCAACGTCTCTATCCCTCTGCAGCCCGTTGGGTGATTTTGGGGTTTCCAGGAATGTATGGCCAGATGTACTTGGCCTTGCTCTCTTGTACCAAACTTCTGGAAAAGGTTGGAACTTGTATAATAAATAACTGACAGGCTTAATTAATGTTAGTGCCACTGCCATTAATCTGCTTAAACCTCTGGCACAAATGGAACAGATTTGTTGAATAAGAGGACAGTTTGTTACACAGTCATTTTTATTGCGCCAGGTGTATTTTAATAAACTAACTATGGAGTATTTATAAGTCATCATATATGGTTACAAGGAACTTGACCTCTTGAATCTGGAAGAGTTGCTACACAACCTCCCAATATGCAAGGCTGAACACACTACAGATGAGTGCAACTATGGAAGAATCTACTTTGGCCAGAAACACATAAGGACTAATTACATGAACATTACTTTATATTGGAGGCTCTCTTTGATGAAGCTCAACAATTTCTACTACATTAAAATATTCTGTTTAATTCAGGATCATATTAAAAGAAAACCACATGGTAGAAAACACCTTCTTCCATATCCCAGTCAATAATACAAGTATCACCCTACATTCCCCAATCCCTTATCCCTGGGATGTATTTCTATATCAGTATATGATAAAAAAAAGATGTACAAATGTACTTCTAATGCTCTCCCATGGTTTAGTTGTTAAGAAGTAGTATAAACTATATTACAGCTTATTCAAAACAACCTTCCTGTGTGACTACCAAAACCCATTAAACCAAATGAGGCTCTGTGCTACCTTTGTGGTTTCCCAATTCTGGAATCAGTGAATGCCAAAAAACATCTTTGAGCAGCTTCAGGGATGTTCTAAGTTGTGCCTGGCTGCCCATGGTCCCAAGAGGGCTGCTCTAGCAGCTGGGGATTGCTGGAGTGCAGTGATACTGCAGACATGCCCTCTTATCCCTGGCTACAAAGACCATGTGTTGGAAGAATCTCCAAATAGCTTGTTAAATGACCATTTCAGCCTTTTGGCACTGGAGCAGCAAAAAGGAGCCATATTGGCAGAGAACCTGAAGCACTCTCTCATAAATCCTATGAATTGTTTTATATAAAACTCAAACTCTTAAGAAAAAAATAGTAGCCCCTTATAAGAAGATATAGCTTCCTAATTAGCCTAATTGAAAGTTGAAGAATCCAGAGGCAGCTCTTGACTCCCACCCAAACAAATTATGGATGTGGTATTGTAGTTTTTGATTATCAGAATTCTGGAGGCAGATACATCCAAGCCAACAGCACCTTAATTATTTTCCAAAAGGAAGCCATCAAAAGTTTTTAGATAAAAGTCAAAATGTCCAATTACTCTTGTATTGAGCTTTGGACAAAACAACACATACAGAAAAACTGATTAAGATTTGGCAAAAAACAAAACTACTATTTTAAACCGAGACTCAATTTTATAAGCTGTAAAAACAAAAACAAAAAAACAAAACAAGAAAAAACCTTTGCCAGAAACATCACCACAGCAACACAGGAAGTTTATCTAGCTGACAGGGCTGATTCTTATCACAGAGAAGTTTTTTCTATAGCTTTCTAATAAGACATGCACATTATCTTCCTCTTTCCTTTTAAAGGGTTTTAGAAAACAGTCAGCAGAAGAGGTCCATAAGGAACCAGAAGGTGAGTATTTCCCTTTTCATTAAAGATATACTAAATCAAATTTCAGATGAAATATATATTATAAAAGGTACTACTGACCATTCAGGAACTTAAAACATTTAGTTACAAGCCTCAAAGTTTAAGTAAATTATGTCTGATTTGATATCTGTGATAGTATTTGTCCCGGCAGCTGAGAAGAACTTTGATTGCAATACTTATATAACTTGCTTAATATTCACGTCTCTATTTTGCTTAAAAACTATACATCTGATGAAGTGAGCTGTAGCTCACGAAAGCTCATGCTCAAATAAATTGGTTAGTCTCTAAGGTGCCACAAGTACTCCTTTTCTTTTTATATAAATCATAGTATCAAGGTTTTTCCCCCCATGAACAGAGCTTAAATTAGCAAAGTGAAAGATGATCTTGAAAAGTACAATTGAAATAAACATACTCTCTATTAGATCAAACCTACTTCTTTTACAATAGTTTGTGGTCTAAGTAATGCAGTCTGACAACACCATTTTCAGTATATTACTTACTATTATCATAAGAACAGCCAACATGGTATACAAAAATATTTTAGATCTTCCATTCAATTATTCTGAATCTTTCAAGTGTACATCTTTATGCATGTTATTAGCTCTTAGCAATATTCAGATTTTTTCTTCTGTATTATATTGTTGCCATCTGCACTGTTAAAATTGTATCCCATATTCAATTACAGCCTCCATTTTCAAGAGTTAATACATAAATGAAAGTTTACTGTAAGATGGAATTTGGGATACTTTCCCCCCCACTGTTACCCCCAAAAATCTGTTGTTCTGTTAGAGTTATAAGAATACAAACAAGTGTAAAACTGAGTTTATCAAAACCAAAGATCTGTCTTAAAAAAACAAACCCTGAACTCAGTCAAGCGGTCATTTACTCTGTGTAACCCAGTACTTTAATTTCCATATTTTGACAGATGCTCTTATGCAAAAAAATCCAAAAACAAAAAGAACCCATGAGCACTCAAAAATTAAAATAAGGTCAAAAGAGAGACTTAACAGACTAAATAGTGTCATTAGCAAAACATGTATAATACTGAAATATATATACAAATCAGATACAAAAGTGAAGAAGTTAGTCAATTACTTATTTGATCAAAGGTACATCATTCTATTATTTTCATTGCTGTTTTGCCCCTTCAGGAAAACACTTATTTTATGCATTTCTATTAAAAATATCTTTTTTAACTCTGTGAAGCCAAGGCTGAGGCTCTGTCTTCTGGTTTTATTGTGATTTCCTGCCCCGCAACAGACTCAGAATTAGAGATGGTGTGAAAATAACTCAGCACTCCATGGAACAAATATAAATATACACAACAAAATAAAAAATTGTAAGTATAATTTGTCTTACCACTCCCTCACAGAAAGTGTTTTTCAAACAACATACAAAAAGAGTTATATTTTAAAAAGTAATTACAACGTAACTATAAATGAATTTTTGCATGAGTTTTGTTCCAGCATCTGCTTTTGCACACTCAGGGGAAGTGTGAAAAGAAGAGGCCATAACACACAAGTGCCTCAATAATTTTGAAATGTGGTTGAAAGTTCTTCTGCACAACTGACTGCACTTAATAAATTATAGATAGTTGTATTTGTTACTATTGTTGCTGCCTTTAAACATCTATAAATAATTTGATTTAAGACTGTGCCTATGACAAAGTAATGTAACATACAACATTAATATCACAGCGAACAATTCTTAAGTATTTCCCTTTGCATCCTTATAGGACAGTGTAAGAAAGCTCCAACAGACTATGGACGCAACTTCAACTGAGCTCCCGAACTCTTCTCCATACAAGGAAGTCTTCTGGAGTTACCGAACTGAGCTAATCAGAAACTTCTCTTCAGAAACCCTAAATGCTACTGTCTGTTCCATGGAAGAAGGCTCATTGTCTCTTGTTTTCATCATTTTTTACTCCATTATTTTTGTCATTGGATTGGTTGGCAATATTATAGCCTTGTTTGCTTTTTTGTGCATTAATCACAAAAGAAATTCTATCCAGATTTACCTGCTTAATGTAGCCATTGCAGACCTTCTACTGATCTTCTGCCTCCCCTTCCGTATACTATATCATATTAACAAAGACACATGGATGTTGGGATTGATTTTCTGCAAGATTGTTGGAACCCTATTTTATATGAACATGTACATTAGCATCATACTGCTGGGATTAATTAGCATGGATCGTTATGTAAAAATTAACAAGTCTATACGACGTCCAAAAATGTTAACAGCTACACGAAGCAGATATATCTGTTGCATATTGTGGACAATTGCAGTAATAGGACTCATAATTATAGTTGCTCAGTCTGCTAAGAGGGAAGAATACAATTCGACCATGTGCTTCCATTACAGAGATAAACAAAATGCAAAAATGGAAGCAATTTTAAACTATATTCTTGTTATAGTCTTTTGGATAGTTTTCTTTCTACTAATACTTTCATATGTTAAAATTGCGAAGAACCTTCTGAAAATTTCCAAGAAAAGAGCAGATTTTCCCAATGCCGGAAAGTACAGCACCACTGCAAGGAATTCCTTCATTGTACTTATTATTTTCACCCTGTGTTTTGTTCCATATCACATATTCCGATTTGTCTACATTACATCACAATTACAACACACATCTTGTTACTGGAAGGAGATAATTCACAAATGCAATGAGATTATGCTTGTATTTTCAGCTTTCAACAGCTGTTTAGATCCAGTTATGTATTTCCTAATGTCCAGCAGTGTTCGTAAGACTGTATGCCAACTTATTTGTAGAAGACTTCATGGGGACTCAAGTGTGAGCGACAGTATTTCAGAAATGAAACCTGGGCAATCTCGTCATGATACTGCGACTACCATTATCCCCCATTCAAGCTTTTTAAAGAAAAATTCCCTCATCTGATTGCTTAAATATAATGGACAACCGCTTCCCAAAAAGACAAGCAGATAATCTACTAGATAATCGACACTGGATGTACATGGGTACAGGGATGTACAACAATACAGAGCTGGTAATACTGCCTCGAGAAAAGCCTTTCCCCCCTCCTTTCCTTCCTTTTTTACAAGTATGGGAGGTCATACTTCAACTGCTTAAACAAATTAAAAATGATTTTTGGTGAGAAAGAGCTTAACTTTTTTATTATTACAAATCAATATGAACTTTCATTTAAAGATTCATTTAGGACAGGATTAATCTACAGCACTTTCTTTCAGAAACAAATTTTTAAAATGGGACCTTGATGTGTGCGCAAGAAGCTTTACACACCCAAATACTTGGTATACATTTATTAGCACTACTAGCTATGCACATATGATAGAATGAATTTTGCACAAGTAAATCTTTACCTGTATCTAATTCAACCCAACTATGAAACAGATATATTACAGATTTTATAAATCCATCTTTGAAAAAAATATATTTTAGCAGGCTTCAAAAATAAATCAGCATCTTAACTGCATTTATTAAACTAACCCTTTCAGCAAAATGTATCATACTCTATTATGAATGTGGCTTACACAGAAGGTAAAAAACAAGACAATTATTAGTTCATTTATTGGAAAAATGTGCTTTATATTTTGTTTATTAAGCAAAATTAGAATATTCAACTACTAATTTTGAAATCCTCTAACAAGCCTTCTAGAACCTTCATGATGTTAAACACCAATCTTAACTCAGGTGGGAAAAAAGTCAAAATACAGGAAAGTACGCAATTCACATTTTGAGGCGTTGGGAGGAGGAGGAGGATTATCCAAGATTTGTTTCAAAATTCTATTGACAAATCTAATAATTTCAAAACATACATGCATGCCAAAATCTCAACAAGGATAAGAAATTCAGAACGAAAGACAGTTATATAAACTGTAAACACAAAATTAAGCTATTGTGGATGTAGAAGGATTTGAAATGAGCAGCGTTTTGTCAGTTCTGGTCTCTGTTCAACCCCAATTACCTAGATTTTGAGGTTAATATCTACTTGTATATTTCCAAAACCATTTATTTCAAATATAATACCTCTATGGCAGAGACCATGTCTTTTAACATGACTGAAGTATCATACTCACCAACGATGTTATGCAAATAACAATCAAATATTAAATGTGGACTCCATACTGTATAGCCCAATTCAAGATTAAAACCAAGCAGATTTATGCAGTTAATGTGTGCAGGCTGAGTAAAATTTTTAACAAAGTTAAACTAGCCTTGATGACTGGGGTGAGTGAGGGAGGGAGCTGGATTAAGAATGGAACTTGAATCTCTAATGTGATAGGCCACAATACTGGACAGGCCTGAATTTTGTTTTAAACTCTAAAATAAAGGGTCAAATCCTGTAAAATTTGAGTAACTTTATTCAAGTGAGTAGTTGTATTGAAGTTGATGAAAACACTCATGTGACTGCTCACTACATCTTTGCAAGACTGGATCCTAAGGCATCTGTCATAAATATAAAGGGAAGGCTAACCACCTTTAAATCCCTCCTGGCCAGAGGAAAAAACCCTTTCACCTGTAAAGGGTTAAGAAGCTAAAGATAACTTCGCTGGCACCTGACCAAAATGACCAATGAGGAGACAAGATACTTTCAAAGCTGGAGGGGGGCGGTTTAAACAAAGGGTTCTCTCTGTCTGTGTGTTTTCTTTTGCCGGGACCAGAGCAGGAATGCAGGTCAGAACTCCTGTAAAGGGTTAATAAGCAATCTAGTTAGATATGCGTTACATTCGGTTTTGTTTAAATGGCTGATAAAATAAGTTGTGCTGAAAGGAATGTATATTCCGTGTTTTTTTTTTTTTTTTTGGTAACTTAAGGTTTTGCCTAGAGGGATGCTCTATGTTTTGAATCTGATTACCCTATAAGGTATTTACCATCCTGATTTTACAGAGGTGATTCTTTTACTTTTTCTTCAATTAAAATTCTTCTTTTAAGAACCTGATTGCTTTTTTATTGTTCTTAAGATCCAAGGGTTTGGGTCTGTGTTCACCTATGCAAATTGGTGAGGATTTTTATCAAGCCTTCCCCAGGAAAGGGGGTGTAGGGCTTGGGGGATTTTTTGAGGAAAGACATTTCCAAGTGGGCTCTTTCCCGGTTATATTTTGTTACACGCTTGGTGGTGGCAGCAATAAAGTCCGGGGACAAAAGGAAAAATAGTTTGTACCTTGGGGAAGTTTTAACCTAAAATGGTAAAAATAAGCTTAGAGGGTTTTTCATGCAGGTCCCCTCATCTGTACAGAGTTCAGAGTGGGGAAGGAACCTTGACAGCATCATGTTGCATGTCTAAACTTGCATGTTTTCAATACTGGGGAAAATCCTGCTTCCAGTCAATGGCAAAACTCCTATTGACCTCAGTGGAACCAAGATTTCACACACTGTTTCTTTTACATTTTGGACATCACTTTAGTGTATTTTTTCTGCCAATCTATTATTGTTCAGGTTTGCTGCAGCTGGATATAAATGTGTTCACTAAACCACGATTACTGGTAACCGTATATTATTACATTTCAAAGCTGTGGGTATCTTTTGTATCTTCTTTAGAAATAATGTGATTCTTATAATTTTATGTTTTACTTACAGTCTCAACATTTGCATTTTTCTTGAATGTTTTAACATATACAAATATTTGAGATTGATGTTAGTGTAGTTCCTGAAGGATTCTTATAGCAATTTCTAATCTACTTTTCAGAATGTATAGAAATAATGTCAATAATTAATAATAATAATAATAATAATAATAAATAATGGTAGACAATCATAGCTCACAGTTATGTCTTTGTCTATAAACCAGCAGGTCACATGGTCTCCTTGCTCTGTTTCCACACTCTAGCCTATGAGCCCACAAGAAACTGCATCCTTCTCTCTAGAACACTCACAAATCAAACTACTGATACATTTCTATTTCTTTTCTGACCAGAAGTAGCCAACAGAAACTACAAATGAAGTGAAAAGCAAAAATAAAATGTTCAGTTAAGTACAGATTGAAAGTAGGTTGTATATCCCTACTCACCAGGCATGGAGGGAACTGAACAAAGAAACGATTTTTAAAATTTTTTTTTAGAATATATTAATTTAAATCTAGAAACCTCATTCAAAGGTTACCATCAATAGAATCAACGTTATCATAATGGTACATTCTGGGATATCTTCAATGAACTAAATAATAGCATGAGAATTCACAAATTTTCAATTTGTTCTGAATGTCACCTTTGGGGAAAGCCAAAATCAAGTGGAAAAGTGCTCTTGATTATAGAAAAACCTGCTTCACATTTGTTTTTGTAAAGCCATCATCATTAATTTTGTTATTGTAATATTGTTTTGTAAAAAAGCAAGTAATCACTCTGCAATCAGGACAACAAAAATATTATTCAGTTTTGAAACTATAAGAGCCTATCAGATGTAATGGTGAGCTTTTTTGTTTTAATAATTTGTGTGTGATTTACTTGTGAAAGATGCTGTTCTGGAGACTGACACTGAGTATATATAGGACAGGTACAGAGCAGGCAGCAGAAATTAAACTTTTCCATATTGTCCTACCAAATTATGCTAACCTGGAGTTATCACCTTTGTGAGGTGGGGGTAATTCAATCTTAACACAACCACTATGTTAAGATTGCCAAAAGTTTCAATAAGTGCTATTTTATTTGTGACTTTTGTGATGTACAAATTTGTATACTGGGATCTGATCGAAGACCATGAATGTATTTCAATCAGGCCATTAAATATAGAGCTGTGTGAAAGCTGATTTTTGGTTCGCTGGAAGTTCCGAAAATTTTGAAAAAAGAAATTGTTTTAGATTCATCCAAAATCAATTAAAATTTTTTTCCAGTGAACCAAAAGTCTAAAAATAATTTTTTTGGGGGGGTTGAATGCAATGTTTTGTTCAACCGCAAACTGTTTTGTTTGTGAGCTTTTAAAAATGTTTTTGTATTTTAATTTTTAAAACAAATTTCAAAAAGTCATTTTGAATAAAAAATCAAAATGTTTAGTTTAAAGAAAATACCAAAATGATTTTTTTCCCAGTTTTGTTCTGACTAAAACAATTTGGCAAAGTAGACAACTTTGAAATGTTTCCCTAAACCCAAATCTGCATTTTTGATCAAAAAAAGTTGTGGCCAAAAAACATCACCCTGTTCTAATTAAAAAGACTTCTGATAGTAATGATGTTGGCCAATGTTGACCTTGGTTAGATTTTAACCAGTGATCTTGTTTAATTTTTTTCTATTATGGTATACTGATAAATCTTGGAAACTTTAAAGTAAAGGTAAACACACAAATCTGTACTTATTTCTTGATGAATATTATGTGTTTGTTGGTATTGCTTTTAAATAAAATTCCAATTGTTTTGTTTCTTCATTTTAATTGTTAAAAATTTACATTTATACAACCTTTTTCATTCTAGGGGGCCGCAAAGTACTTCACATGCTAGTACACATACACACAGAGTATGAAGTGGAAGGTAGCAACTTCTAAACAAAGAGACAAGTTGACATTTTTAGGCAGGAAGTGTCTACCTTATCCCATTAAATCGGAAGAGAATTTCAGGTAGGCTATAAGCTTCAACATTTTCCTCTTCTTGGATTGAGTTATAACAGTTTGGATGGTACAATATCATGCCCTGCAAATCAACCTTGTGAAATAACAACAGATCCTGAAATAACATTGGATATCTGTGGAAAGTTACATCGTGATATCACAATCACATTTCAAAATGCCTTTATATAATGTGTTTGATGCACGTTTATTCTGCTGGACAAATTTCTATACGTGACAATCCAAGCAGGCAGACTGTAATTACTCCAATTGAAATTTGGCTAAGACACCAGGATTATTCCCTCTACACCTGTGAAATGTGCCACATGAAAAGAGACTTGAACAAGTAGTTTGGACCTCTATTGTACATTTAATCCCAAAGATGGCAACCAATAATATGAGTGGGCATTGTACAATACCCACTCCATCATCCTTAATCATGCTGAGCAGTACACGGATTTCAATACCACTATTCTTGAAGTACTATTCCTCGTAACTGCCAGATTGTGACACCCTCACTGTTTTCAGTGGGATTCCTGCAGATGTCTCTATATGCATTTCATGGGCCTCAGGCTGCTCTTCTATTGAAGTCAGTGGCAAATTTTCCATTGACTTCAATGGGTGCAACATCACGACTACGTCTCAGCCTTTCTCTAAATTGTGTAAATACACACGTACTCTCACACTATATAATTACACACACATGGAAGGTAAGGAAGGAAACATTTGAGTGTATTCCACTTTGGGCCCGTCAAACTTGACAAATCCTTTAATAGCTTAGCTATTCTAAAACATATTGAAAGACCAACCCTAAGCAAAGTATTTTCAAAATTTAAGGAATAAAGGCCAGGCTTGAGTTATCAGCACATAAAAATGTTTCTGGCTCTAGTAAACAACTTTTGTTTTCATACCCCATTTAATTGCACTCCTAGTTTTAATTTGTAAATTGGTATGTTTTCTGGGAGGAGAATATGGGAGAAGTGAAATGTTAAATATACTATTGAATCACCAGAATAATTAAGAGTTGAAGTGAATAAGTAACTTCCCCTAAACAACAGTGAATTTAGTCTTGAAACCCCCAAAAGTAAGAACAGTCTTGCAGCACTGTTTTCAGCAACAAACAAATAGGGGCAGATCACTCCCTGCACTGGGAAATTCCAGCAGGGACCTAGCCTGAGACTACCTTTGAAATTATACATAGAAAGGACGCATGTGTTGCACAGTATGGAGAGGCTCCTCAGAGAAGATGCTATAGCCTCACTAGACCAAAATAAATTTCTTGCATATTCCCTGCAGACGCAGTCGCCACCCCCCACACAAATCCCTGGACCAGCCCTATCGCCACCCCCCACACAAATCCCTGGACCAACTGAGGGCTCGCCATAGAGTCTGGGCAAGGGATGAAAAAACCACAAATATAACAGGGCCCCCGCACATGTAGACAGTGACAGATGACATGCACAGATATCAGAAGGAGAAGACACCTCTTCAATTCCCAGAGCACCGGAACCAGAGTATCACCATCAGAAAATTAAGTACTTTCTCTCTCTCTCTCCTGGCTGGGTGTAGGGAGCAATTCTGCCTGGGGGTAGGGACCAATAGCACTTGAAACTCTGCAATGTTACTGGAATATGAGAAACAGTTGAACTGACCTTTTTTTTAAAAAAGTTTTATTAGGGCTGTCAAGAGACTAAAAAAATTAATCGCAATTAATTGCACTGTTAAACAATAATAGAATACCATTTATTTAAATATTTTTGGATGTTTTCTACATTTGCAAATATATTGATTTCAATTACAACAGAATAGAAAATGTACAGTGCTCATTTTATATTTATTTTTGCTTACAAGTGTTTGCACTGTAAAAAACAAAAATAGTAGTATTTTTCAATTCACCTAACACAAGTAGTGTAGTGCAATCTCTTTATCATGAAAGCTGAACTTACAAATGTAGAATTATGTACAAAAAGAAACTTGCATTCAAAAATAACATTTAGAGCCTGGAAGTCCGCTCAGTCCTACTTCTCGTTCAGCCAATCGCTCAAACAAACAATTTTGTTTACATTTGCAGGAGATAATGCTGCCTGCTTCTTGTTTACAATGTCACTTGAAAGTGAGAACAAGCATTCTCATGGCATTTGTAGCCAGCGTCCCAACATATTTATGTGCCAGATGCCCTAAAGATTCATATATCCCTTCATGCTTCAACCACCATTCCAGGAGACATGCGTCCATGCTGATGACTGGTTCTGCTCGATAACAATCCAAAGCAGTGCAGACCGATGCCTGTTTATTTTCATTATCTGAGTCAAATGCCACCAGCAGAAGGTTGATTTTCTTTTTTGGTGGTTTGGGTTCTGTAATTTCCACATCAGAGTGTTGCTCTTTTAAGACTTCTGAAAGCATGCTCCACACCTCGTCCCTCTCAGATTTTGGAAGGCACTTCAGATTCTTAAACCTTGTGTTGAGTGCTGTAGCTATCTTTAGAAATCTCACATCAGTACCTTCTTTGCGTTTGTCAAATCTGAAGTGTTCCTAAAATGAACAACATGTGCTGGGTCATCATCCGAGATGGCTGTAACTTG